ACTTTGGGAGGCCGAGGTAGGTGGATTACTTGAGGTCAGGAGTTCAAGACCAGTCTGGCCAACATGGTGAAACCCCATCTCTACTAAACATACAAAAATTAGCCAGGTCTGGTGGTGCACATCTGTAATCCCAGCTACTTGGGAGGCTGAGGCAGGAGAATTGCTTGAACCAGGAGGCCAAGATTGCACCACTGCACTCCAGTCTCAAAAATATATATATATATGTATATATATACATATATATATATATATATATAAATTTACTTGTCTGATTTCTAAAATCACTAACTATCTTAATAAAAAGAAGTGGGCCGGGCGCGGTGGCTCAAGCCTGTAATCCCAGCACTTTGGGAGGCCGAGGCGGGTGGATCGCAAGGTCAAGAGATCAAGACCATCCTGGTCAACATGGTGAAACCCCGTCTCTACTAAAAATACAAAAAATTAGCTGGGCATGGTGGCGCGTGCCTGTAATCCCAGCTACTCAGGAGGCTGAGGCAGGAGAATTGCCTGAACCCAGGAGGCGGAGGTTGCGGTGAGCTGAAATCGCACCATTGCACTCCAGCCTGGGTAACAAGAGCGAAACTCCATCTCAAAATAAATAAATAAATAAATAAATAAATAATTTAAAAAAATAAAAAAAATAAAAAGAAGTGTTTGGTTAAGGCTAGGGAACATCTTTGTTCATCGTAAGTAATTGTCCAGCGATCGCACTTTGAAATTCTATTTCATATGCTTACTAAAAATAAGAAAAATCCAATTATGTATTTTACTGTTTTTTAAAAAACATTTCAAAAGCATAAGTATGCCTTGTTTGGGGAAATAGGCAATGTTAGTGGAGAACAATTCATATGATAATTTTGCCCAAGTCAAATTTCTGTTAATTGGAAACAGCATATTGGAATGCTATTCTAAAACTTATTAGAGAAACTTATACATGAAAAAACTATTTTTAAACCATGAAGTACTCTATTAACAGAAATTATTTCAATTTGAAATAATAATGTAAAGGAATCCTAGAGCTAAAATTATTATGAAGTGCTTTCATAGACATAGTTTACTTAAATGAACAAAGGCCTGTATGAGAATAAATATGAATGAATAAATATTTCCCTTCACAGAGAGGGAAGAATAGAAAAATAAAAAGAAGAGGAGATCCCTCATTTTCAGCCTTTATATTCACAATTTAGTGTGTGGTGTGCCAGAAGATAGGCCCAGTAGTTCTATTATTTGTAAAAATATTAGAATAAAATCCAAGAAACTAAAGAAAACACTGTAATACTAAAATTGAATTGAGAATATTCATGTAAACCCATGATTAAAAATTGCATTAAGGCCAGGCACAGTGGTTCACACCTGTAATCCCAGCACTTAGGGAGGCCAAGGCAGGCGGGTCATGAGGTCAAGAGATTGAGACCATCCTGGCCAACATGGTGAAATCTAGTCACTGCACTCCAGCCTGGCGACAGAGTGAGACTCTGTCTTAAAAAAAAAAAAAAAAAGAATAGCGTTAGTTATCTGTTGCTACATAGCAATGTTACCACAAATTTAGAGGCTTACAACAAGACATTTCTAGGCTGGGCATGGTGGCTCACATCTATAATTCAGTACTTTGGCAGGTGAGGTCAAAAGTTCGAGACCAGCCTGGGCAACATGGTGAAACTCCATCTCTACTAAAAATACAAAAATTAGCTGGGCACGGTGGCGGGTGCCCGTAATCCCAGTTACTTGGGAGGCTGAGGCATGGGAATCGCTTGAACCTGGGAGGTGGAGGTTGCAGTGAGCCGATATCACACACTCCAGCCTGGGTGACAAAGCAAGACTCCTCCTCAAAAAAACAAAACAGAAACAGAAAAACCCCCACAAGACACTTTTATTATCTCACACTGTCAATGGGTCAGGAGACTGAGCATGGTTTAGTTACATGCTCTGCTTCTGGCTCACAAAGCTTCAATCAATGTGTCAGTGGGACTGCAGTTTCATCTGCTTGCAAACTGAGGTGGTTGTCGGCAACTTTTAGTTTCTAGCAGGCTGCTGCACTGACGTCCTCAGTTTCTTGCTAGCTGTTAGCCAGAGGCTGCCCTCTGCTCCTTGCCATATGGCCCCTCAATACACAGCTTGCTTCGTATATGCCAGCAAGGAGAGAGTGTCTTTGCAAGAGGAACATTACAATCATCATGTAATCATTATGAACATAATGTACTCATGTATATGTAATCATGTACATCCTATCACCTTAGCCATATACTACTGATTAGAAGCAAGTCATGGTTCCTTCTACTTTTAAGAGGAGGGCATCACACAGGAGTATGAATAGCAGGAGGCGGGGATCATGGGTGCCACTCTAGCGTCTCTGTGTCATAAATATGTATATTTTTTTCTAGCTCTGTCCACTGAAGTACCCTAAAAGCAACTTTACTCTGTAATAATGAACATCTCTAGTGCTCAGGTTGTGGTCCTTAAAAACCATCCCCCCCATTAAAGGGAAGCTGGGCTCTTTGAAGCAGTGTCTTATTTCAGGTCTGGGGCAGGGAAAGTACAAGGAAAGCGAAGGCTATTTGATTGTGTTAGAAATCAGTCAAGTTCTCAAACATCATTTGGGTCATATACTATTTGGTCACAGTTATGACATTTAGAGCATTATAAAGGCTAATGGTGGAAACAGATGGAATCTATGAAAATCCACGATTTTTAAAATTTTGGGGACAAGGTCTTGCTCTGTTGCCCAAGCTGAAGTGCAGTGGTGTGATCACAGCTCACTGCAGCCATGACCTCCTGGGCTCAAGTAATCCTCCCACCTCAGCCTCCTCGGTAGCTGGAACAACAGGTGCCTGTCATTATGCCTGGCTTATTTTTCTTTTTTGTAGAGACAAGGTCTCAGTACGTTGTCCAAGCTGGTTTCAAAATCCTGGCTTCAGGTGATCCTTTCACTTCAGCCTCCGAAAGCACTGGGGTTACAGTCATGAGCCACTGCACTGGGCCCACTTGCCTTTTATAAGGATCTTTGAGATTACACTGGCCTTGCTTGGATAACCCTGGAAAATCTCCCCATCCCAAGATCCTTAATTTAGTGATATCTGCATAGTCCTTTTTGCCATGTAAAAGGTTCCAGGAACTAGATTATGAATATCCTTATGGGGTCATTATTCTGTTTACTACAGAATGTGGTTTTTAGTTTTTATTTTTGTGTGTGCATTTTTAAAGCAATATTCAAGTTTATTAAACAAATAAAAAAAGTATTATAAAATGTTTAACTTTCATCGGCTTCAAGGTTTATGTTGCTCCCAAATTTTGCATACAACTGAACTTTCAAATCTGCTAACACCCACTGAATTGACTCCACTCTGGATTCTAAGGCGTCAATTTCTTCCTGCAAATTTTTCTTTGCTTCTTCTAACATTTCTTGTGTTTCTTCTTGAGAACGGCTAATGAAAACATCACCAATTTGATAAGGTATCATTAAGCAGTCATCATCTGCAAGCATGATGTCATCACAAGCATCTTCTAGGTTTTGGAGTTGTTTCTTTTTTACTTCTATTTCTTCCTTCAGCTCCGTGATTCTACTTGTATTCCGTGCAAATTTGTTTATCTTTTGTTGATCTTTGAAAGTAACATTGACATCTTCTGCAGTTGCCTTCTTCATGGTGGCCGCCATCTTGGGGTGTGTGCATTTTCTAATTTTATGTAATATGCATGAATTACTTAAAGTGCATATATTAAAAACAGAACAATGTTATAGTTTATTTTTGAGTAACATGAAATGTGGTTATTTATCTTTTATTAACTATCTATAACTTTTATATGGCTCAATGTAAACTTGAGGGGTTTTTATTTTTTATTTTTTTTGAGACAGAGTCTTACTCTGTCACCAAGCTGGAGTGCAGCGGCGATTTCTGCTCACTGCAACCTCTGCCTCCCGGGTTCAAGCTATTCTCCTGCCTCAGCCTCCCAAGTAGCTGGGACTACAGGCACACACCACCACACCACCTAATTTTTGTATTTTTAGTGGAGATGAGGTTTCACCAAGTTGGCCAGGATGGTCTTGATCTTTTGACCCCATGATCTGCCTGCCTCGGCCTCCCAAAGTGCTGGGATTACAGGTGTGAGTCACTGCACCTGGCCTGTTTTGTTTTGTTTTGTTTTTCAAAAGACAGAGTCTCACTCTGTTGCCTGTGCTGGAGTGCAGTAGTGTGATCTCAGTTCACTGCAACTTCTACCTCCTGGGTTCAAGGGATTCTCTTGCCTCAGCCTCTGGAGTACCTGGGATTACAGGCGTGCACCACCACGCCTGGCTAATTTTTGTATTTTTAGTAGAGATGGGGTTTCACCATGCTGGCCATGCTGGTCTCAAACTGCTGACCTCAAGTGATCTGCCCGCCTCCGCTTCCCAAAGTGCTGGCATTACAGACATGAGCCACCATGCCTGGCCTGAAGCTTCAGTTTCATATGTAGCCAGTTACTACTTTTTCTTCATGCTAAATCAGAAAATTCCAATTCATAATTTTACATGGTCAGAAATGGCAGCAAGTGTTTGGTAGCTGGGTCAGAAACTTCTGTGTGTTGGATGGAATAGGGACCCACAAATTGAGAAGTCATTTCTTCTATTCAGTGTTACCCTGGACACTAAGTAGATGAAGTATCATACTCCAATTCTGCAAAGTTGAATGTTTCACCTTAGGAGGTGCGATCTCACTGGGGGCAGTACCACACAGGGGTGTGCTTTGAAAACAAGTGGTTCTATTTTGGTTGTTACAGTGATTGGCAGGAATCCCCTGGCAGGGATCTCCTGGCATTTAGTGGGCAGGAGCCAAGAATGTCCTATGTCCTTCAATGCATGTGACAGTCCTGCAAGGAAGAATTTTCCTATGTCTAACATAATTTTCAATGTCTCCCTAGACATTTGCATATATGAAAACCTATTCGTGATTACCTGAGTCTAAACCTAACCTTGTTTTACATGTAAACTCCAAGTACTATTCTTTTCTTTTTATGAGTTTTTTTTTAAAATATGGAATGTTTTCACAAATGTGCATGTCATCTAGAGCAGCCATGCTTATCTTCTTTGTATCAATATAATTCCACTGTGAGCATATTGCTGCTGAAGCAAGCATAACTCAAAGGATTTTCTGCACAGTTTTAATATATGTGGAATTTTCCGGGAATGGAACTACTATGTAAATTGAAAGGAGTGTGTTATTTTGTTTGGAACTTTACCAAGAATGGCTTAATGTTTTAGAAAATCACACCAATGACATCAATGTCATTTATGAGCTGTGCTGGATATCTTCCATTTGCCTTTCCCAACTCACTCCACCCTTCTCTACCTGCTCTGTGCCTAGCAAAGGGGCTGTAGCAACAGGTTTCCTTGCCCTCCAGCTTCTGGGTGGTTCACTCAATGGAAAGCATTGGCAGGAGATCTGGAAGGTGGAAGGAGAGTGAGGTGTGCCATTTGAAATGACCATCAGGAGCTAGGTTGAATGTGCAAAACTGTATTCCATTAGAAAATGAAAATGTAATATTTAAGTAATAACTAGCTTCCAAGCTGGTTGGAAGGCACAAGTAAACTGCATGAAGAGGTGGTTCAGGCTGGGCGTGGTGGGTCACATCTTAATCTCAGCACTTTGGGAGGCCGAGGCAGGCAGATCACAAGATCAGGAGTTTGAGACCAGCGTGGCCAACATGGTGAAACCCTGTCTCTACTGAAAATACAAAAAACAGCCGGGCGTGGTGGCGGGCACCTGTAGTCTGAGCTACTTGGGAGGCTGGGGAAGGAGACTCCCTTGAACCTGGGAGGTAGAGGTTGCAGTGAGCAGAGATCAAGCCACTCAACTCCAGTCTGGGCAACAGAATGAGACTCTGTCTCAAAAAAAAAAAAAAAAAAAAAGAGGTGGTTCAGACTCTCATGATGCTTGCTGCTACTGGTTTACTTCTCCTTTAACCCAGATTTGTGACTTCCCGCAGAGTTCCTTATGACTGGATAACACAGAAAGAGCAAGGTTTATGATCCACAGTTTCCCAGCACCATCTAAAAGTAGGTGGTAGCTGCATTCTAGCCCCTGAAAGAGAGTGGTGAAGGAAAATATTCCTAGGGGCAACACTTTGGGCAGTACCTCTTGTTGTCCACTTCATGTGGAAGGAAAGATGGCCTAGTTTCTCTATGAGCATGCTGTTAGGAGAGGCAATCCCCCATGGCCCAGAGAGTTCCTGCTCGTTCTTGTTGAGCACGCCAAGAATGCAAGGTCCTAACTGCTCTTTACCTGGGCCATTTCTCAGGGCTCTATTGCAAGGAGCTGCCTTGAGGGATAAGGTGATATCTCCTTCTGGGACAAAGAGCAGGCTTGCTTTCCCCAAGGCCGGTATTCCTTGACTGTGATGCAAACAGGCACTGTGTACACAGTGTATCCACCTGGGCCCCTTCCCAAGGTCCTGTGGGACTCGGAGACTTAGGGAACCGCATGGTCCCGTGGGACATGAAGACTTAGGGAACCGACACAAATACGCCGATCCTCATGCTGCTAGCTCGTGCTACTGACATCCATGAAACGGATATGTGGATCCACAAAAGGCTAACGTGTACGTAGGGAGAAATCCCAGGCCCTGGCAAATATTCATTATAAACAGTGCAGTTGGTTTTACAAGCTTTTGGACATCATGTGACTTGTATGTGATTTCACATTGAAGGGTATAACTCAATTATTTATCTGTAGTTTTGGTCCCTAAGGGAAAAACTTTGCCACTTTTGTGTTAGAATGATTTTTGTTGTTGTAATTCAGGCAAAACTCCACTGGCAGAGGTATCATTGCACATCTGTTGGAAAAAACAGGTCACTTTTAATGACTTCATGAAAGTGTTTGACAAAGTTTCATAGCAAACAGTACTAAGGACTAAGGGTGACTGGATTGCTGATATAATAAACCAGAAATTCACATATTGCCATTTTTAAAAATTCATCCTGTACATGGATAACATCACATGCCTCAAATTCCAATTGTTTATAATAATATTTTGTCCCTTTCCTTTCTATAGTAAGTCTTTTAGCTTCTCAGATCTGTCTTTACTTTTTTCCTTTCTAAATAATGGAATTCCAGCATTTCATCTGCAACACCACAGGCCCTCCGGAGTGCTGGTATAAGAAATCCTAGCAACAGAATAATGAAAAAGTGATTTTTCTGATCTTTTAAAATGTCTTTGAAAATGTTATTTCTAACAAAGGGCTCTTGTAAGACATCTAGAACTCTGAGCTTTTGGCTTGATCTATGAATGTAACCTTGGCCTTAAAAAGCTTGTAATTCTTGGCCAGGCGCAGTGGCTCACGCCGGCAATCCCAGCATTTTGGGAGGCCGAGGCGGGTAGATCACCTGAGGTCAGGAGTTTGAGACCAGCCTGACCAACATGGTGAAACCCTGTCTCTACTAATAATCCAAAAATCAGCCAGCCATGGTGGTCTGTGCCTGTAATCCCAGCTACTCCAGAGGCTGAGGCAGGAAAGAGAATTGCTTGAACCCAAGAGGTGGAGGTTGCAGCGAGCCGAGATCGAGCCACTGCACTCCAACCTGGGTGACAGAGTGAGACTCCATCTCTAAAAAGAATAAAAGCCTGTAACTCTTTTGGTTTGTATCACTGAATAATCTGTTCCCCTAGTAATAATATTTAAATTGACATTTCCATATCCTAAAAGCTGTGAATACCTGTACATTTTTTTTTAGACAGAGTCTTGCTCTGTCACCCAGGCTGGAGTGTAGTGGCATGATCTTGGCTCACTGCAACCTCTGACTCCCAGGTTCAAGCAATTCTCCTGTCTCAGCCTCCCGAGTAGCTGGGACTACAGGCGCCTGCCACCACGTCTGGCTCATTTTTGTATTTTTAGTAGAGATGGGGTTTCACCATGTTAGCCAGGCTGGTCTTGAACTCCTGGCCTCAGGTGATCCACCCACCTTGGCCTCCCAAAGTGCTGGAATTACAGGTGTGACCCACTGCGCCCAGCCTTGTAGCAGTTTTATTAATCAATAAAACCGGAAACAACCAAGATGTCTTTCAACAGGTGAATGGATAAGCAAACTGTGCTATATGTGTTCGGTGGAATACTTGTCAATGATAAAAAGGAAAGATTGCCAGGTGTGGTGGCTTGTGCCTGTAATCCCAGCACTTTGGGAGGCCAAGGTGGGTGGATCATGAGGTCAGGAGTTGGATACCAGCCTGGCCAACATGATGAAACCCCATCTCTACTAAAAATACAAAAATTAGCCAGGCATGGTGGTATGTGCCTGTAATCTCAGCTACTAGGAAGTCTGAGCCAGGAAAATTGCTTGAACCCAGGAGGCAGAGGTTGCAGTAAGCCAAGATTGTGCCACTCTACTCTAACCTGAGTGACAGAGCAAGACTCTGTCTGAAAAAAAAAAAATTCCCAGTCTCTGGTAAGTCTTTATCAGCAGCCTGAGAACAGACTTATACAAGGCTCTAGGGGGAAATTAATTTCCTTGCCTTTTCTAGCTTCCGGAGGCCATCTGCACACATTAGGTGAGGACCCCTTCCTTACATCACTCCAACCTCTTGCTTCTTTTGTTTTTTCTTTTTTTTACTTTTTTTTTTTTTTTTGAGACGGAGTTTCGCTCTTGTTACCCAGGCTGGAGTGCAATGGCGCAATCTCGGCTCACCACAACCTCTGCCTCCTGGGTTCAGGTAACTCTCCTGCCTCAGCCTCCGGAGTAGCTGGGACTACAGGCACGTGCCACCATGCCCAGCTAATTTTTTGGTATTTTTAGTAGAAACGGGGTTTCACCATGTCGACCAGGTTGGTCTCGATCTCTTGACCTCATGATCCACCCACCTCGGCCTCCCAAAGAGCTAGGATTACAGGCTTGAGCCACCATGCTCGGCCAACCTCTTGCTTCTGTCCTCACCTCTCCTACGAACTTCTTTGACCTTCTTGCCACCCTCTTTTAAGGACCCTTGTTATTATTACTACATTTAGGGTCCACCTGGATAACCTAGGATAATCTCATCTCGAGATCCTTAATATAATTACATTTGCCAAGTCCCTTTGTCATATTAAGGTAACATTCACAGATTTTGGAGAATAGGACATAGATATCTTTTCCGGGTCATTATTCAGTCTAGAACAGGATTGAAAATAGATCAGTTAGGCCGGGCGCGGTGGCTCAAGCCTGTAATCCCAGCACTTTGGGAGGCCGAGGCGGGTGGATCACGAGGTCGAGAGATCGAGACCATCCTGGTCAACATGGTGAAACCCCGTCTCTACTAAAAATACAAAAAAAATTAGCTGGGCATGGTGGCACGTGCCTGTAATTCCAGCTACTCAGGAGGCTGAGGCAGGAGAATTGCCTGAACCCAGGAGGCAGAGGTTGCAGTGAGCCGAGATCGCGCCATTGCACTCCAGCCTGGGTAACAAGAGTGAAACTCCGTCTCAAAAAAAAAAAAAAAAAAAAAAGAAAATAGATCAGTGGTTGCCAGGGGTAGAGGAGAGGGAAGAGTTGAGTATACACGAGGGTGGTGGTGGATATATGACTCCACAATTTTCAAAACCTATGGAATGGTACAACACCAAGAATGAACATTACTGTATACAAATTGAAAAAAGAATCACCCCGGTTTTCAGTGATTCCAGGATGCAATGCTAGAGGATGACAAAATAAATTAATTGTACCTAGAGGAAATTTTTAAGTGAAATAAACCAGGCACAGAAAGACAAATACTACATGATCTCACTTACATATGGAATCTAAAAAAGCTGAAAAAATTGGCTGGGTGCGATGGCTCACACCTGTAATCCTAGCACTTTGGGAGTCCTAGGTGGGTGGATCACCTGAGGTCGGAAGTTTGAGAACAGCCTGACCAACTTGGAGAAACCCCGTTTCTACTAAAAATATAAAATTAGCTGGGCCTGGTGGCGCATGACAGTAATCCCAGCTATTCTGGAGGCTAAGGGAGGAGAATCGCTTGAACCTGGGAGGCAGAGGTTGCGGTGAGCTGAGATCGTGCCATTGAACTCCAGCCTGGGCAACAAGAGCAAAACTCCATTAAAAAAAAAAAAAGTTGAAAAAATAAGAAATAAAGAAGCAGAGAGTAGAAAGGTGGTTACCAGGGGCTGGG